GCTATCCACTCAGCCACCGACTAAGGTAGCTTCGTAGGACAATGTCGTCTTTGACAGTGGTCCCCAACTCCCGATCAAACTCCTTTTTGTCCCTTATCAACCACTGTATTTCAAGATGGCGCCTTGACATGTAGAGTCCTCCAGCCTCATGGACATTTCTAATTCAAATTCTAAGCCTATGACAACTTTTCAAAAACATGGTGGAGGTAAATATTCTTTAAAAAGGTCACATTTGATATTAGTTAACATGTTGTTTTCATTTGGAGCGACTGTAAAAATTACACAGAGTACCTTTAAATATACCAGGGGCATGAACAAATCCAGACATGTATGAAGATTAGTCCTCAAAGGTTGTGAGCCTTATTAATCTGACGACAACAGTGGAAAGAGTCCTATGAGTCATTTTTGTAGCTTTGGGCTGAGAGCTGATTGGCTGAGAGCTGATTGGCTGAGAGCTGATTGGCTTAGAGCTGATTGGCTGAGTGAGGGTGGGGCTCACTTTCCTCCACTTTTCTGTCTGAAAAAGCTGCACTAAAGAAGTGACAGAGAACTTTTTATTAAGTTCAATTTGTTGTGATTTTAAGCCACTCCTTTTCTAATGATTGGAAAACAGATCAATTGTACTTTAAATAATTCATCCCTGACTATCTTACAAACCCCACACATTGTAACTGTAATCATGCTCCTGCTTCATAAGAATCTCTGAATAATACTGTAATTATTGTCCAGTTTGCTTGGAATGATCCACTTTCATTCTCTGAGGCGTGGATGCAAACGACCGAACGAGCAGCTCCATTTTCTGAGGTCATGGTCTCCTTCACGTCCTGCTCCTCCTGCGCCTGATGGACATTTCTCAGAGTAGAAATAATTACGGAAAGAGGCTGGATACGTCAGCCTGTTGGCCCGAGAACAGGATGTACGCAGGCTGACGGACAAGCAGCGATTATGATCAGACAAGCTTTAGAGCCACATGGAGCACCGTTCATTAGGACCAGGCACACGGGGATAATAATAGGCTATTTTCTGGATTGTTGCAAAATAGCTCACATTACAGCCCCTTGTGCATCGTGAGGTCGACCAAAAAGACTCTCATAGGCAGAAGGAACAAGAGACACGTTTGTTTTGATCAGAGGAAAGGAGAGATGGGAGAAAACAAGACAATTGCACTGTTTTTTTTATCATTCTACCTTCATGGCTCACATCTAATCAAATGTCTCTCTCTCTTCGGCCCAGCCAGGTCCATGACAACAATACAATTCTCCAAATTTAGACTCAGTTCACCGCCACAGTGGCTTTAAAACTGCAGTGTCAGCTTTCATTTAAGAGTATCTGCATCATAATGGAGCTGACGGTGTTAGGAGGGATCGAAAATGCATTGGAACGTCACTTTTGGGAAAACTTGCTCGCAAATCCTTTTACGGCTCTATTACAGCCCGAAGTCTGGAAGGTATAGACTGCTTCACTATTGATATTTCTCTGTTATAAACTTGGCTTGGATCAGGCCTGCAAATGTAAGCTGGGGGTCACATTCACAGTTATATGCGGCCCCTAGACCTGAGGGAGAGGTCTTTTAGGAAAACCGTCACATTTTGTTGGTTATAAACAATGAACTCAAATAGTTTTGGTTCAATTCAAGCAAAACCAAAGACAACCGAAAAACAACATTGAAACTCATATTCAAGAATAAAACCATTTGCTTAAAATACCATAACAATATAAACCGATTTTTGACAAAACAATGCCTGGTTTGAAATCAGAACATTCTCAAGATCACAATTACAAGTTGATCTTGGACCCGCTACGATTACCTTTACCCTATTCTGAACCCGAAACCTACCTCAAGTCCAAACCCTAACCATAGCAACCCCTAAGCCCTAACCCAACCATAGCCTTTTTTGGCAGATTGGAATGAGTGGCAAGTCTGTATATACAGTGCCTTGCGAAAGTATTTGGCCCCCTTGAACCTTTCAACATTTCGCCACATTTCAGGCTTCAAACATAAAGATATAAAATTTTAATTTTTTGTCATGAATCAACAACAAGTGGGACACAATCGTGAAGTGGAACAAAATTTATTGGATAATTTTAACTTTTTAACAAATAAAAAACGGAAAAGTGGGGCGTGCAATATTATTCGGCCCCTTTACTTTCAGTGCAGCAAACTCAGTCCAGAAGTTCAGTGAGGATCTTTGAATGATCCAATGTTGTCCTAAATGACTGATGATGATAAATAGAATGCATCTGTGTGTAATCAAGTCTCCGTATAAATGCACCTGCTCTTTGATAGTCTCAGGGTTCTGTTGAAAGCGCAGAGAGAAACATGAAGACAAAGGAACACACCAGGCAGGTCCGAGATACTGTTGTGGAGAAGTTTAAAGCCGGATTTGGATACAAAAAGATTTCCCAAGCTTTAAACATCTCAAGGAGCACTGTGCAAGCAATTATATTGAAATGGAAGGAGTATCAGACCACTGCAAATCTACCAAGACCCGGCCGTCCCTCCAAACTTTCATCTCAAACAAGGAGAAGACTGATCAGAGATGCAGCCAAGAGGCCCATGATCACTCTGGATGAACTGCAGATAACTACAGCTGAGGTGGGAGAGTCTGTCCATAGGACAACAATCAGTCGTGCACTGCACAAATCTGGCCTTTATGGAAGAGTGGCAAGAAGAAAGCCATTTCTCAAAGATATCCATAAAAAGTCTCGTTTAAAGTTTGCCACAAGCCACCTGGGAGACACACCAAACATGTGGAAGAAGGTACTCTGGTCAGATGAAACCAAAATCAAACTTTTTGGCCACAATGCAAACGATATGTTTGGTGTAAAAGCAACACAGCTCATCACCCTGAACACACCATCCCCACTGTCAAACATGGTGGTGGCAGCATCATGCTTTGGGCCTGCTTTTCTTCAGTAGGGACAGGGAAGATGGCTAAAATTGATGGGAAGATGGATGGAGCCAAATACAGGACCATTCTGAAAGAAAACCTGTTGGAGTCTGCAAAAAACCTGAGACTGGGACGGAGATTTATCTTCCAACAGGACAATGATCCAAAACATAAAGCCAAATCTACAATGGAATGGTTCACAAATAGACGTATCCAGGTGTTAGAATGGCCAAGTCAAAGTCCAGACCTGAATCCAATCTGTGGAAAGAGCTGAAGACTGCTGTTCACAAACGCTCTCCATCCAACCTCACTGAGCTCGAGCTGTTTTGCAAGGAAGAATGGGCAAGAATTCCAGTCTCTCGATGTGCAAAACTGATAGAGACAGACCCCAAGCGACTTGCAGCTGTAATTGCAGCAAAAGGTGGCGCTACAAAGTATTAGCGCAAGGGGCCGAATAATATTGCACGCTCCACTTTTAAGTTTTTTATTTGTTAAAAAAGTTTAAATTATCCAATAAATGTAGTTCCACTTCACGATTGTGTCCCACTTGTTGTTGATTCTTGACAAAAAATTAAATTTTTATATCTTTATGTTTGAAGCCTGAAATGTGGCGAAATGTTGAAAGGTTCTACTTTCGCAAGGCACTGTAAATCAGCGTTCCAGAACATACGCCTGGATGGTTGGGAATGAATGGATGAATGACACAGACTCATAGAAAAAAAAAAAATTACCAGAATCCATCTATCTATTTCTGGGTCGGGGGGGTGGCAGTCAGAGCTGCACCCAGTTCACAGAGCACCAGCCCCTCACTGATCCTCCTGCAGGTGGTGAGTCCACAGGAGCTGAGATCTTTCAGTGGGTGCTTCAGGCAAAGTGGGGTTAAGTGTCTTGCCCAAAGACACAACAACAGCAGTCATCAGTGGGAGTCGTGAAGTAGGTCTTATGGTGGACTCGGACCCACAACCTTCAGGCTCAAAGGCCAATGCTTTTTGGCCAATGGCCAAAAAGCGTATTAGCACCGCACCCCCGAAGTCAATTACAATCAAACTTTATATATTATAATGAAAATAGTACAGAACAAGGATACAAAGAAAAGTATATGTCATGACTTTGACTTCACTGACCAGAGAGAGACCAGGGAGAGAGACCAGAGAGAGAGACCAGAGAGAGAGACCAGAGAGAGAGACCAGAGAGAGAGACCAGGGAGAGAGACCAGGGAGAGAGACCAGGGAGAGAGACCAGAGAGAGAGACCAGAGAGAGAGACCAGAGAGAGAGACCAGAGAGAGAGAGACCAGAGAGAGAGACCAGAGAGAGAGACCAGGGAGAGAGACCAGGGAGAGAGACCAGAGAGAGAGACCAGAGAGAGAGACCAGAGAGAGAGACCAGGGAGAGAGACCATGAAGAGAGACCAGGGAGAGAGACCAGAGAGAGAGACCAGAGAGAGAGACCAGAGAGAGAGAGACCAGAGAGAGAGACCAGGGAGAGAGACCAGGAAGAGAGACCAGGGAGAGAGACCAGAGAGAGAGACCAGAGAGAGAGACCAGAGAGAGAGACCAGAGAGAGAGAGAGACCAGAGAGAGAGAGACCAGAGAGAGAGACCAGAGAGAGAGAGACCAGAGTGAGTCACACTTTGAACTGTTCTTCTTATCACCAGAGTGAGACACAACTACAGTCTGGTTAAGACAGATCTCCACAAAGCAAGAGACACAATATCACCATATAATTATTTTAAATATACTGACAACAAGTTACTGAGAACAGATTAAACCCATTTCACTCAAAAAAGAGATGTTGCCGCTAGAAAGCAGAGTATTTTTTACAGTAAAAAGAAGAGGAAGGGTTAATGACTGGACAGGAGAAGGACACCCCTGGCCCTGCAGAAACTACAACCAACATGTACCTGGCCCAAACACCACCACCAGGAGTCACCAGTGCTCCCACGAGGAACCCACGGACTGCAGGAACCTCAGCTCCCAGGACCAAATACACTTCAGTGGGAAACAGATTCATCAATGCTCGATTAACAATTATTTCAGCTCCACAGAATATTGACCCCCTACACACTTCCATGCCAATCCACGGTCCAAAGCCAGGTCACACTGGGAAACATGGGATTACCGCAGCCCTACAGAGCCGACTGCAGTGTGAGAACCAGACTTTCACCTCCAGACTATGCAGACCAAGTTACAGGTGAGCGCTCCACTTACCAGGACAGGAGCGCTGGTATTTGTCCGTCCCATGCGTTAGGGCTAGATGATTTATTTGTATTTATTTATTGTTTATTTGGTTGGGACAGTACATGTTAATGAACACATCACTCCAGATCCGTTGTCGCACATTTGCACTCACAAACACACTCATTCACCCTGAACACATGTTTTTAGAGGTAGGGGAAACCGGAGTACCCAGAGGAAACCTACGCAGACACGGGGAGAACATGCAAACTCCACTCAGAAAGGCCCTGTTACGACCAGGATTTGAACCCAGAACCTTCTTGCTGAGAGGCGAGAGTGCTATCTACTCGGCCACCGTGCCGCCCTGTGTTTTATTCATGCAACTTGACCAATACCTGCATGTGAATCAGACCTCTGAAGCTAAGCAGGGCAGGGCCTGTTAGCACTGTGATGGGAACATGAGCCACAGTGGGGTAGCTGTATAATACCCACAGCTACCCCTACAGTGTGAATTTCTCCTCCTTGTGAGATAAATAAAGAATATCTTATCTTATCTACCTGTCGTTGTGTCCTGAAGCAAGACACTTCACCATGTGCAGGTGTGTGTGTGTGAATGGTTAGTGGTGATTGGAGATAGTACATACTGGCTGCCTGGCTTCTGTCAGTGTGCCCCAGGGCAGCTGTAGCTACAGTAGTAGTTTATCACCACAGTGTATGGAGTGAATGAATGACATGTAAAGCGTCTTTGAGAGTCAAAAAAAAGCTATAAAAAGCATTATTATTATATTACCTAAAAAGAACTAAAGAACAGCAGGATAACTTTGCTGAATCTCTTTGACATATAATAAACCTCCTATAAATACCTTATTTCTGTATAATCTCATTGATGTGACAGTGTTCAGACGTGCGCTCTCAGGAGATGGGCCCCGGTGCTCTTTGTCACTGGAGTCACTGTCACATCTGACTAACTCAATATCCATATTCTGTCAGACATATGCATATTTCATTCACAATCCTATAAACACAAGACCCCAAGGCATAACTTAAGTTGCATTTCAAGTTTCAGTCATGGCCAAAGTCGATGGATCGCTTTTGCAGGGACGATATCCTGTGGTAATTGTCCAGGATTTTGTACCACCGACAATCTCAAATGTTATAAACGGTAGACCATATCTGGAAGAAGATACACATCTTTCACTTACTGAGAGCTGATTGGCTGAAGGCTGGTCGTCTCTTTTTCACTGAAAAAGCTGAACTAAAGATGTGACAGAAGCCAAAAATACAAGAATATGAAGTAGATTTTATTATGTAGTTATTATTTTGTGGTTTAAAAAATAGATGCCCTAGCTTTATACCTGTTTGTCTCATGAATATGATGTTTCTTTTATTGCTTGATTTTCTATCTGTTACAAAATCAACAATTCGAGACAAATGGTGTTTAGATTTCGGGCGATACAAACATGAACAGATTTGGAGGTTGCAGAGATCCAGAGAACATTCACTTTGCTCACCACTTATACATCAGTCACATTTCTTTAATCGAAGACAGAGACATTGAGCTCATGAGAGTCAGAGGTGTTCCATCTGCAGTCGCTCACAACAACAAACAACTTATCGCCACACGAGGGACTGGGCATGCTCTCTCTGACACTGAGCCACACAGACTCATTACAACATCACACATGTATAAAACACCAACGCCTCTCACTCAGCAGCAACATGAAGACAATGTACTGCTTTTTCGGACACTCAAAGACTTTCACACAGAATTATTCTTTCACTCCATACACTGTGATAAACTGCAACTGTAGCTCCAGCTGCCTTAGGTTAAGACCATAGACTGTATATATTAACGGATGTAGTCACGCCTATTTCCGCCGTTCCAACTAATGGGCCAAAAATTGGGCTTTCATGGAGTGATTCAAAATGGCCGCGGGGGCTGGAAAATGTGAAAAAACACATCTGCACGAGCTCCATTCATTTAAACGAGTGACTTCAAAAATTCATAGCGACTAAACTAGACTGGTCCAAAACACTCCCCTCAGGATTGACACAACGGAGCTTTGGGCCAAGAGCCAACTTTTGGTCCATCCTGTAAAGACGTTTTTGAGAGGTCTGCTAATGCTATATGTTAGCATTGGCTAATTCTTATTCCGGGTCCACCCCCATCGGCCCGGGGTGGTATTGCAGCATGTCAGCGCACGTCCCTTTGGCCACTTTTGAGCCGGGACCCGTCCCCACTGGTTCAGACTGATGGAAGCGAGGCAACCAGTCCGTGCCCTCTGACCACCACCAACCATTCACAAACACCAGACTCATAACAGGAAATGTGAGCGACGTGTCTCTTTCCCAGGGGAACCTGTCGTTCCTTGAGGTCTCCCATCACAGCACTGACCAGGCCCTGTTCTGCTTAGCTTCTGATGTGTGACAAGAGCAAGCTGTCACATGCAGATGGCGCCACCGCTCTGCTCTATGACACCTGCTTCAGAACACTATTATATGGAAGCCCGTTTCCGCCATGTAAAAAAAAAAAAGCCTACAGAAAGTCAAAATGTTGACTTTAAAACTCAAAATTTTGACTTCAAAACTCAAAATTTCGACTTTAAAAGTCAAAATTACGAGTTTTCAACTGCGCATGTGCAGTTGAAAACTCGTATGTGTTGTTGTCTGGAACGGTCTCTGGTCATCCCTGTTATAGATCCATGACCATGGGTCATCCTCTACCTGCAGATTATGTGAAGATTTTTCCTACAGACAGTGACCACATCCATGAAGTAGCAGCAATAATGTTGTGGTAGTAATCGTGTTAAAATGCAAACGGTCTCTCCGAATCCGCTTCAGAAGCCTCTATTTAGTTTATCCTAAACGGACTGTGGAAGATTAATAAAACACATGCGGCTGTTCAAAGTCATTGAGCATCAACTGGTGACATCTGGTCAGTATCACGGCTATCGATGGATGCACCAGAAATGCACTGAATGATATTGTGACTGACAGAGACCGTTCACGATTACAGGACAGTGAGGGAGGTCCACAGACAGAGGCAGGAGAACCACAGACAGAGGCAGGAGAACCACAGACAGAGGCAGGAGAACCACAGACAGAGGCAGGAGAACCACAGACAGAGGCAGGAGAACCACAGACAGAGGCAGGTAAACCACGGACAGAGGCAGGAGAACCACAGACAGAGGCAGGAGAACCACAGACAGAGGCAGGAGAACCACAGACAGAGGCAGGTGAACCACAGACAGAGGCAGGTAAACCACGGACAGAGGCAGGAGAACCACAGACAGAGGCAGGTGAACCACAAACAGAGGCAGGTGAACCACAGACAGAGGCAGGAGAACCACAGACAGAGGCAGGTAAACCACGGACAGAGGCAGGAGAACCACAGACAGAGGCAGGTGAACCACAAACAGAGGCAGGTGAACCACAGACAGAGGCAGGTGAACCACAAACAGAGGCAGGTGAACCACAGACAGAGGCAGGAGAACCACAGACAGAGGCAGGTGAACCACAGACAGAGGCAGGTGAACCACAGACAGAGGCAGGAGAACCACAGACAGAGGCAGGAGAACCACAGACAGAGGCAGGAGAACCACAGACAGAGGCAGGTAAACCCACGGACAGAGGCAGGAGAACCACAGACAGAGGCAGGTGAACCACAAACAGAGGCAGGAGAACCACAGACAGAGGCAGGAGAACCACAGACAGAGGCAGGTGAACCACAGACAGAGGCAGGTAAACCACGGACAGAGGCAGGAGAACCACAGACAGAGGCAGGTGAACCACAAACAGAGGCAGGTGAACCACAGACAGAGGCAGGAGAACCACAGACAGAGGCAGGTAAACCACGGACAGAGGCAGGAGAACCACAGACAGAGGCAGGTGAACCACAAACAGAGGCAGGTGAACCACAGACAGAGGCAGGTGAACCACAAACAGAGGCAGGTGAACCACAGACAGAGGCAGGAGAACCACAGACAGAGGCAGGTGAACCACAGACAGAGGCAGGAGAACCACAGACAGAGGCAGGTGAACCACAGACAGAGGCAGGAGAACCACAGACAGAGGCAGGTGAACCACAAACAGAGGCAGGTGAACCACAGACAGAGGCAGGAGAACCACAGACAGAGGCAGGTGAACCACAGACAGAGGCAGGAGAACCACAGACAGAGGCAGGTGAACCACAGACAGAGGCAGGAGAACCACAGACAGAGGCAGGTGAACCACAGACAGAGGCAGGTGAACCACAGACAGAGGCAGGTGAACCACAGACAGAGGCAGGAGAACCACAGACAGAGGCAGGTGAACCACAGACAGAGGCAGGAGAACCACAGACAGAGGCAGGTGAACCACAGACAGAGGCAGGAGAACCACAGACAGAGGCAGGAGAACCACAGACAGAGGCAGGAGAACCACAGACAGAGGCAGGAGAACCACAGACAGAGGCAGGAGAACCACAGACAGAGGCAGGAGAACCACAGACAGAGGCAGGAGAACCACAGACAGAGGCAGGAGAACCACAGACAGAGGCAGGTAAACCACGGACAGAGGCAGGAGAACCACAGACAGAGGCAGGTGAACCACAAACAGAGGCAGGTGAACCACAGACAGAGGCAGGTGAACCACAAACAGAGGCAGGTGAACCACAGACAGAGGCAGGAGAACCACAGACAGAGGCAGGTGAACCACAGACAGAGGCAGGAGAACCACAGACAGAGGCAGGTGAACCACAAACAGAGGCAGGTGAACCACAGACAGAGGCAGGAGAACCACAGACAGAGGCAGGTGAACCACAGACAGAGGCAGGAGAACCACAGACAGAGGCAGGAGAACCACAGACAGAGGCAGGAGAACCACAGACAGAGGCAGGTGAACCACAGACAGAGGCAGGAGAACCACAGACAGAGGCAGGAGAACCACAGACAGAGGCAGGAGAACCACAGTCACGGGCACTGACAATATTACCCTTTTGGAATTGCGATCAGTGCATTGAAGAGTATGTGACGTGTTTGCGTGCACGCGGGGGTGAGCTGATGGAGCGTGTGGTAAAGTTGTTGGCGTATGAGCAAGAACACAGAGACATACAGGGAATAAGTACCTTGTCTGATTATTTTATTGTGACAAAATAAAGCCCACGACTCTTTAAGCAACAAGTAAGTAAGAAATAACTCCGCAGATAACAGTGAGGGTCTTTGAAAAGGGAGTTAAACCCATTATAGATGCATGAATGAAACCCCGTACTCAACACGTAGAAAGCGCATCATTTCAGCCGTGGAAACACTCGCTCCGTGTGGACCCCTCTCAGCGCCATCGTCTGGTCAGACGATGATTGGATTGGAATCATGCAGATTGGATTGGAATGTCTCGATGGCTCATTTTCCTTTGATTTATTATAAAAACGTATTGCTCACATTATTTGTTACTATGTCGAAATAAGAAGTCGTTTGATTTAAATGTTGTATATATGTAAATTGAATTTAACATAAATAAATAAAAAGACAGCTCCTCCCTGCCTCCTACGACCGCGGTCTGGGGCTTAAACAGGAACGTTTTACAGAATCAATCAAACAACATTATTTCTGGCTACTTCAAGGATGCAGTGGTTACTGTCGGCAATATCTTCACATAATCTGCAGGTGAAGGACGTCCAGAGACCGTTCCAGACAACAACACATACGAGTTTTCAACTGCACATGCGCAGTTGAAAACTCGTAATTTTGACTTTTAAAGTCGAAATTTTGACTTTTAAAGTCGAAATGTTGACTTTTAAAAGTCGTAATTTTGAGTTTTAAACTCAAAATTTTGACTTTCTGTTTGCTTTTTTTTTTTTTTACATGGCGGAAACGGGCTTCCATACTATTACATCTGTTGTAAACCTTCAAATGTCAGTCTTGTTGTAATTCTTTATTTTTATTTTTGAAACAAGAACGTATAGTCCTGTATTGAATTGTGCCTTTTCCTTTATACGGAAAAGGCACATAGCAGCTGACCACTGCAGGGAGCCGATTTCAGACTTCCAGTCAAAATTCTTGCTGTGAATCCATCCCTAAATCGCAGATTAAGAAGAAGAATTAAACAAAGTAAGTGAACAGATGTGCTGTGCCGGTGGTTGTTGCTCCTCAAACACACCTTGGAAAAAGCTTAGAAATGAAACGAGAATAACAAATGCTACATCTCACAACAAAAATCGAACGTATATTAACTCATTGACTGCCACGGACGTATTTGGCTGAGACTGGTGATTTCTGTCAAACTTCTCTCTATTTGACTGAAGATTGCAACAGAACAAAACTAGCTGGATACCGACGTATTTTTGCAGCTGAAAGTAGACGGTCCGGTCTTTCTGAATCTGGTTTCATATTTTTCATAGTCACAGCACACAATAATCTGTGGGTCTTGAAAGTCAGCAAAATCATCAAAAACAGCTGGCAGTCAATGAGTTAAATGAAGCCTTTGCTCCAAGCCATATCATATCCATACATTTACAGTAAGAGCTCCCTGAAGAAGCCTTTCCCTTCAGCATTAGCTCTGACAAATCTCCCCCATATAACTGAACTCGGCCTTTATCGAATTACCCCAATATCAGCGCTCACAGGAGCCGCCTTCCGCACTCAATTTCACACTAAACGCTTCATGCACTCCTGCTCCGTAGATGGATTTTAGAGAAGACCAAGGCATTTACCACACACACACTTGGTCACATGCCGTTGGCCTTTCGACTGAAGATGTTAAAAAATAATTGAAAAGTTGTGTTCATTAAGGTAAAACAAAATTCACATTATAAAGCTGTTTTTGTTGTATGTGAATGAACAGGGACAGTTAAATCCTGAAATGTTAACCGTTATAATTAGCAATGCCATGTTGAGAAAGCGGTCAATCCCTAGAACCATATTTGCCAGATTTTTACCCATTTTTTTCTGCAACAAAATTCTTTACAGTGCTCTTCTTTCTGCCCAGCTCATCACATTTGCCATTTAGACTTCTCTGCACTTTACAATAAGATCAGAGGTGGCACAGAAGTCACAAAACCAGTCAACTGAGCAGCAGCTTTGGGGTGAATTGGAGCGGTCTCCCTGAGGTTTCTCCCTTTTTCCCACTGTTTTTTTTTTTTGGGTTGTTCTTTGCCGATGCGGGAGGGTCTAAGGACAGTGAGGATCCAGGACATAACTTATGGACATTGGTCATAACACTCCATATGCGCCAATGGCTTCTGTATGTGTTTGTTATTATTGCATTTACACGTGTTCAAATGAAATGATTGATATGACGACTACTGTTGCAATTTAGGGCTATACAAAAATAAATTGATTGAAATCTAAGGGGCATTATTTCTGCATTGGCGTACCCTCTCCCTCTGACCAAAAGTTTGTGCCGATGGAATTGGAGAAGTGACGGCTTGATAAACTGGTTCAATTTATTTCATGTCTCGGTTAGCGATCCCTGATCCATGATTGCGGTGGCTCATTTTGCTCTAAAACACTAAACAAAAACAGTTCTCACTCTGAAACACTAAATGTGAAAGCAGCAAAGCAGACTGTATGGAAAAGCATGACCTATTTCCCACATTGCATGGTCTGATTTGGTTTTTCTTGATTTAAAACTGCATTAAAACTGTGTTCTGCCTGTGTCTCCAAAGCAGTTCTTTGTTTACTCAAAATAGGAAACAGAATTATTTGAATAAAGTCTGACTTTTATTTCCTCTTCCAAACTCCTATTAATCAACCTCAAAATGATATTAAAAATGCCAATAATAATGTCTGTTTGGAGACTACTCTTGTTTCTTAATATTAATTTGATATAACATTTTGCTGCTCTGTTCTGTTCCAAAGGCCATGTTCATGTCTGAGTCTGGGCTGCAGCTTCACTGGACTGAAACCTTTTATAACATAGTGCAGGTGAAGACACCATAAGAACTACAGGAAACACAAAATTAGACAATTAGCATATTAGCTATGTTCAAGTCCAGGCTGAAAACGGTTCTTTTCAGCGGTGCCTACGACTGATCATCAAGAAATCGGATCATAAATTTATTTTTGATGTATATATTTATTCATTTTCTTAAACTGTCTTTGTATTTGTTTTTTACAGTGTGTTTTCAAATTGCTTTTAAATGTTGTCGATGTGAAGCACTTTGGGTTGCCTTCTGTATGAACTGTGCTATAGAAATAAATATTGATTGATTGATTATATAGTGTGACAATTGTGATATTTATCTTATTTCTTGACTCTTGTTTTGATTACCTTGAGATGTAGATATGTTTGTAGGAACTTACATATAGCTATTGCTTGTGGCAGAATTTTGTAACCAAATGATTTTCTGACTTAAGTGCAGTAACATTTGTGTCCAGCAGGTGGCAATCAGTGCTCTTGAGCTTATGTGTTTTCCTCATAGATACCATGGATCAGATAGATACCAAACATGAGGAAGGGTCCTTCTTTTAACCTCTTTTCTGATTTGGTGACATTGTATTATGGTAAGACCGTGTATGTTTGTTGTAATGGTTGAATTTGTCTGAAACAGTTCAATTGTAATGCTTTGGTTTCTACACCAAAGCATTACTGTTAGCAACTGTTGCTCCGCTAGTTGCTAACAAATGAGTTAATTCTTGTTGTGATTGGCGCATGAGTTGGGAACAGTGAAAACTTGTGTAAATACAGTCTACGGTAAATACCAACATAAATCCCATGTTCTCCCAAGTGGGACAAAGTGATGCCGATATGTCTTAAAAATGCAAAGAAATATTGTTTTTTTACTTTGAACTATAGGATATGAAACAGAAAGGCAAGAGGAAACCTATTTTTTTGGGCATTTTAAAAGTAACGTTAGCCGCTGAAATGGATTTTGGAGGTTTGCTAGCTAAATGCTACTCCACGCGGCCACATGTTAGCTTCTGCGAGTTGAAGGGCAAGCATGTTAAAACGTCTCAAAATTCCCCTTTCTCTCTGCTCCACACACATGTGCAATTGAACATGACCAGAGAACCATTGAATTTTAACTATAGCACAATTCTTTACTGCACGCATCATAAACTTCCTGCCTGTTTTTTCCACAGGGTTGATACTATCGATGAGCTGGTGCGCTTCTATTGAGGGATTTTCTATCTGCACTTGCTGTCCAACAGGCTCTGACCGAAGCCCTGGCCTGGAGCCCTGTGCCGAAGGTCCCACATCGGTCTGTATTGAACCACAGTGAGAGAGAGGGGAGCACACAACCAGAAATACACGGACGAGTTGTTCCCTTTGCAGGATCTGGACACGTTTGTGGCTCTGCTGGCATGGTTGTGTTGAGGTGACGCCACACCAAGCCACACAGGCCATTTTCTTGGTTACTTCCTCCAGCTGCAAACGAAGCCAGGTAAGGTGTTGTTTGTCAATTTAAACTTTGCAAAACCTAAACATGGGGTTGTTAAATGTTTGGTTCTTATATGTTTTGTGTTCATTCTCAGAGAAAGCATCTTCAAAGAGCAATAGTTTATGAATAAATCAGGCCACAAAAGGCAGTCTAGAAAACACAGTAGGAAAGGACAAGTAATCTTTATTTATATACCGTCTTTTTCACTGCAGATCTGAGTCTCAAAGCGGTTTACAATTGTTCATTTTTGGGCATTTGTCTCTCACTCCACACAGAGATGGGAGCGGGGTCGCCAGTACAGGAGGCACATGCCAGAACTATTGGACATATTTTTAGTGGTAGGGGAAACCGGAGTACCCGGAGGAAACCTACGCAGACACGGGGAGAACATGCTAACTCCACTCAGAAAGGCCCTGGTCCGACCGGGATTCGAACCCAGGACCTTTTTGCTGAGAGGCGAGAGTGCTATCCACTCAGCCACCAAGTTTGTTTATTCCTTGGTTTTCCATTTGAAAAGTTGATCTAAACCTGTTCAGGGCAAAGGTCATGGACGTAAAGCCAGTGATAAATGTTTAGAAAGCTAGTTTTCTTTTCAATGTTTTTTTTAACCACCATTCCACCTTTTAGAATAGAATTGAATTGAACTTAATGCTTGATACAGGCAGTGTTGGGCAAGTTACATTGAAAAAGTAATTAGTTACAAAGTACTAGTTACTTCTAAAAAGAGTTACTTTACAGAATCATGTTATTATGTTTGCTTTGTTAAAGTCATTCAAAATAAAGGTCAAATTATAAAATAAGTTGTTCAGATCGGGCTCAAAGGGCACCTCTCCAGATGTTTACAAATGTTTTTTTCTGTCACGTGTCCAATCCATCCGCACTTTGTATTTTACGCCAAATGTTTCTGAAAGTCGGCGGCTCGTATTAGCATCTGTACCGTCACGTTAGTCTATCTGTGTCCGACTTTGAGGTTTTCTGGTCATTTAAGTCCAGGTTTGTGCCGGTGTCGTGCTATCGGAGGCGGCCGCAGCTGAGACGCTCTGTAGCAACTAGTTCAACAGTTAAGTGTAGACCACAAATTGGAAAAATGTTGGAGGATTGGCTGCATAAAGTTAAAATGCTGCATAATATTCTCCACCGGTAAAACAGCAGGACATAAGCACACACTGTAAACCCTAACTTCAATCGTACTTCAGATATCAAAGTTATTTTTAAAAGATTTTTCCCAGTAAGTAGATATTACTCTTTTATTGTTAGTTTATTTAAAGCTTGCCTACAGTATGTCACTCAGGGTTTTCTTTGAATTGAACTGTTTCTGTTCAAGTAAGCCTCACTTTTGACGTTTTGACGTGTAGAGTCTTTAATGAGGCAGGTGTGTTAATGGCAGGGTGGCCCGGTGGCTGAGTGGGTAGCACCATCGGCTCTCAACTACAGGGTTCTGAGTACGAATCCCGGTCGAAGTAGAAATTTAAACTTTATTGCAATCACTTGAGTTTACTTGGTAATATCAAGTAAAGGATGTACTCGAGGAATTCAAGTGAAGTTAATACGCAATTTATTTCCATGGTTTTTTCAAGTAAACTTTACCGGCGGGCGGCACGGTGGCTGTGTGGATAGCACTCTCGCCTCTCAGCAAGAAGGTCCTGGGTTCGAATCCCGGTCAGACCAGGGCCTTTCTGAGTGGAGTTTGCATGTTCTCCCTGTGTCTGCGTAGGTTTCCTCCGGGTACTCCGGTTTCCCCTACCACTAAAAATATGTCCAATAGTTCTGGCATGCGCTTCCTGTACTGGCGACCCCGCTCCCATCTCTGTGTGGAGTGAGAGACAAATGCCCAAAAATTAACAATTGTAAACCGCTTTGAGACTCAAATCTGCAGTGAAAAGGCGGTATATAAATAAAAACTTACTTACTTACTTGTCAGGGTTTACAGTGCACCCAGCGCTCACACAGTCGATGGTTCTCCTACAGTTTGTCGGCGCTTTCTCAGGTCTGATGTGGAGTTCTTTGCTGTCAGTACATTTCTTCCCCTGCAGGTTCCAGCGGATACTGTTCATTTTGACCACGACCGCTTGAACTCAAAGTAATGCCGGTATCTCCATGAATGAAAAGCTCTGTGGTCGTCCTCGCTATCATGATTTGTCAGGATTTACGTTGCCACTTTTACAGTCTGTGTAATGTTTGATGTCTGTTTATCTCGTCACATCTCTCACACGTCATTCATTTGTCACTTCACGAGTCGACAAGAAACAAAAGTCACAACACTCTTTTGTAACGCTGCTTGCTTAGAACATTACTTTTTTGCAGATGTAATCCCTTACTTTACTCGTTACTCAGAAAAAGTAATTGGATTACAGTACCATGTTACAATTATCACGTTATTGACCAACACTGGATACAAGAAAAACTTTTAAATGTGGTTGAGAAATCTGGTGCTCCAACTTAAACCTCACAGAGACAATTATACTGTTTATGAGTTAATGTAAACCGCCTACTAACAAAAAGCAATAAAAAATCAAAAAGCAATTTCTTTCTGGAGCAATTCAATAACAGTTCTGCAGTGATTAGATAATAAACCTTTTTTCATCCCACAGTGAGGAACTTTCTGTGTTGCTGTAGACATTACAGAACAGCAGACAAACAAGACAAATTCAATATTTACAAGCAGGGTAAAGCGACAAAGTTGGAAAATGTGTGAGAGAGAGTAATGCAAAAAGTAGGCGGCTTCATCGACAGTGGCTGAAGATAAAAGAGAATAATGTGGCAGTCCACCAGCATCGTGCTAAAACATGCTTCTGAATGAGTCGGCTGAGGGTCAAATGTAGCGTTAAAGCTAACCACTATCCTGAGATTTTACACAATGTGCGCAATCCTGCCTACAGATAAACAGTCAAACATTATTCAGTCATGCGCAAGAATGTCTGAACGGATTACTCTGAAATCTGGTTTGTAGATGGGACATAATGGAAGGCTCCGTGGTGTTGCCGAGTGCATGTATTAGCCTAGCCAGCAAGAAGGTCCTGGGTTCGAATCGCGGTTTGAACAGGGCCTTTCTGAGTGGCGTTTGCATGTTCTCCCCATGTCTGCGTAGGTTTCCTCTGGGTGCTCCGGTTTCCCCTACCACTAAAAACATGCACAATAGGTCTGAATGTAAATGAGAGAGAGAATGGATGGTGTTGATTGGAGCTGATGGTCCAGTGTGTTCTGGACTCGCTTCTGTCATCACCGTGATCGGAACAATATCTGACTCTGAACTTTGTAAAGCGCTTGGGCTGACCTTGGTCTGTAAAATGCGCTATATAAATAAACATGACTTACTTTTAGCTCAGACTTAAATCATTTCAACCATGCCACAACATTGTTCCCTCATCAAAATCCTGTGTTTTTAATCCTCCTCCATTCCAACATCGACACAAACATGCCCCTCCATTTTGTCACAAACGCAAAAGCTTATTTTCATACGTGGGGTTTTCGTTTGTATGAACTTTTTTATATTTTGATAATGTCGCTCTCATTAGTGCACACGGATTGGTCAGAGTGCTCACGTGTTGCGCTGGTCTTGCAGAAGTAGAACCACTGCGCACCTACTGCACAAGACAGGTGTAGCAGGCCAGTTTAACCCCCGCCAGAATTCACCCGAGTATAAAGTAGCCTAGGCCAGATTATACCCCGGGGTTAAAATAGCCGGGAGAACCATGCAGAGCTGGACAAAATGCGTCTCTTCCGCAATTATTTCAGCCTCGATGGCATTGATTTGAACAAGCAGAAATCTTGGAGACCAGTGGCTTGGTTAATCCACATTTTCCAAATTAAAAACACATGAATTAACAAAGTAAATATTCTCATTCATGTTTATGAGCCATTATTTTAGTACTGCTGCAAACATGGGCTTTGCTAAACATGTCTATCCTATAAAAAGGCTTTATAAACATTTCTTGGTTTTAGTTTAGATATTATTAGCCTCTTCTTTGACTCCTTCTAATACGGAGTGGGTGGTGATCCTGAATTTGAGGCGGTTGGAAAATTAATTAAGAGTATGATTAGTTTGCACTGCTGGCCTTTACAACTGCACTCAGCGGTGACAATGGGACACAATCATTTCAGTAACATGTAATTACACCATTGTATCATTAAACTAATCAACCGTTCAGACAAGGAGCTGCGAATCTCTGCGGAAACCTGAAAAGGAGGTTATTGTCTGCTTACTTTCCTCATCTCCAGTGGTGATAGAATAGAAGAGAATAGAATAAACTGTCCTCGAGAGGCAATTTGTCTTGACGTATTGCTACACAGTAAGAGAAAACATTCAAGGTTCCTCAGTCTGAAGAGTTGATGTTGTTCTTACAAATCATGAAGCTTTTGTTCGTCCTACAGAGGGAACGCTGCATCGTACCATAGACAATATTTTCGGGTGGACTGACTGAGTGGGTGCTGATGTCCCCCATAGAGTTTGACGAAAGCCTAAGAAGCTTATTCGAACAAAAGGTAGCTTTCAACGGGGTTTGCTGAGCGCTGTAACAGGGGTAGATGCGTTGCTAAGACGGTTGCTAAGGCAAGCTAGTGTCTCCCCTGCGAATGAAAAGATCTTATTGTTCACACCTCACAGCCCATATCTGGTTTTACAAAGACAACAGCTAAATAAAAACCCAGAATCATAGAGAGGTGAAACTGCAGATTAAAAACCCATAATGGTGAGTGTGACAAACAGTTACTGAGCTAGAGGAGTTTACTTTTCAATGGAAGTCCGAATGAGCCAGAGCGAGTTGGAGCAAAACTTTTTCCATGAGCACTTCCCTATGGGGCTTCATTGAGCCAGCGCTGTAGCTTTGTATCTAAATAGAGTCTATTCTTTGTGCATTATCAACACGGCTCATAAATTTGCTTCATGAGGAGGTGACGCCGACATCTGAGCCCCTACAAAATTGTTTTCTGATTTTTTTTGAGAAATTGAAAGCGCTCCCCTGAAGTTGAGAATTCTTCTTGGTTCACTATATCACAGTCATACT